AATAACACCTACCTGAACCTTCACCCTAATTATAGTGAGGGGGGCAAGAAATCTAATCCCTGTATTGCATGTGAGCCAGAATTTTGTCTGAAGTCAAATAAGTGACTAAATGTCAAAACTGAAAAGAAAAAGATCATCACTAAAAGAATGACAGAAAAGAACAGAAAATTCTGTCTATGCATATCTCTATCCTATAGTATAATAGGAACAGTCATCTTATCTTGCCTATCTTCTTTGCTTCTTTACCATTATCGTTTCCTTTATTACAATGGTTCTATATGTTTCTCCTCTTATCCCCTCTGTGTTACTATTTATTGTGTGCCAGTCAGCCTCATCTTTAATTCCTATATTCAGTCCTTGCCAGCCTTCCTATCACACCTTTCTCCTGTACTATCCTGCCTTATCCCCATTCCTTTTGGTCCAGCCTTCACTATTATCCCTATGAGAGCACCTTAGACCCCAAACTATTTATGCTTGTGCACCCTTTCCTTCTCTCTCTTGCAAAGCATCAGGGGAGATGTAGTACACAACATCTGACGTGCCAAAAGTTGCCTGCCCATGCTTATTCTCCTTTTATTCAAGTCTCCCTTTTCCTCCCCTCCCCACGTTATTATACCTTATCACTGCCATTCCTGTAATCTGGGCTTCCCAAACCTTCCCGGTATGCAGGTCTCCTCATTTTTTCCATGTATGCTATTCCCCTTCCAGCATTTTGTATCCTAACCCTCCTTATTGAGTCCCTTTGCCAAGATTATTGGGAACTGCAAATATGCCAGGTAGCTAGCCTATAATTTGCAATAAATATTTTATGTAATGGTATAGTGCAATATAGAATAGATAAACTCCGCACCGCCTAGTGGCATTTACACTTCCTTTGCATCCTTCCTTTTCCTCTGTGTATTTTATTTTTCTCATATCATTCCCTTATATCATCCTGTCCCTCTTTTGTTATTCTCTCTAAATTCCTGTTGGTACATGGTTAGCACTGTAACTCTGAGTGAGGGCTTTCATTGTGGGTACTTTAGACCCTGCTTTTGCTTTAAGTGTAATGTGAAAGATGATCTAGGTGATAAAAGAATCAGTCAGTTTTTCTTTTTTTTTTTTTAATTCTTTATTTTTCGTTGTGCAAGAGTTAACAAGACCGCGTACTATGCCACAACGGTGTATGTAAGCACAGTGATGATACAGTTGTACATTTATGTGGCATTAACGTCATGGCACATTTTTTAGGTGTAGTTATAGTCAGGCTCTATATACATGACGAGTTGTAGGTTTCAACAATATAAACAAGCGAAGTGAGAGGCTTAATCTGCATGAGGTGGTGATTAGTGCGCTATGTGTAGTTACCGCGTGTTATGGGATTAAGGCCAAGGCTATGGACATTAGTTTGTTTTGCGAGATCAGCAATTCGTTAGTTGGTGTGTAGTTAGTCTTAAGGAGGTCGGAGGCAAACGTTTAGATATGGTGAGCATAGTACTGCAGTGTGCAGTCAGACAGGAGTCTGGGTCGTAGCATAGTGTGCAGCTCACTATATGTGTGATCCAGGCAGTATGGTACAACGTATAGGCATAGTTGTGGTATAAGTGCAGATAGTGCTGCTCATGGTGTTTATATTAAGCATTTCTTGTGGTGCAGTAACTTATTCCTCAGTGTGTACATTCAAATGTTATGTAGCACAAAGATGAGAGGCAAAGAGCATGTATTAAGAAGTACAGTAGGTATTATGAGAGAGGAATATTTGTGTCTGCTGGATAAAACAAAAATTTGCATCACATAGAAAAAAAAAAAGAAAAGATAAGAGGCAGGATAGCGTCCGGTTTGTGTGTAGATTGTATGCTATATCAGCTGTTTTTCAGTGGGTAAGGTAAATGGCCATTATGTCCTTCCGGGTAAGACATTTTTAACCTATGCCCGCCAGAGGGTATACAGTGTCCTGTAGCCAGGATGAGTGCTGCAGGCTGCCCAAGCTTACTAAGGGTCGGCAGGTGGTAGCTGTAGCTGGTGGGGGTCCCCTTGGTACCTCAGGTGAAGCATACACTCTGGCGTGGTACTGCAGCTGTCTTGGCTGTCTCGTGTGGGGGTTTCTTTTCTTGGCTCCACGTGGTCGAGTAGCCCCGCGAGCAGACGGGAGGTGTCGCTTTCTCCGGCGCCGTTTGTCAGTGCTCTTCGGCCTGGGGGTTGCTTGCTGGTGTTGGGAGCTAGGTGATGGCACTTCAGGCAAGTTCACATCTGCCGCGGGAGGCTGAGCTTGTTTCATCCTGCGTGCTAGTTTCCTCTAGAAGGTCGCAAATGTGCTTTCTAGCCATGCCAAGATATCGGGTTCTCCCTCACCATCGCTTGGTGTACACGTGGCGTCAGCAGGTTGTCTGTGTGGGGTTGTCGCTTGCCCCCTGCATAGCTGGGCTTTCTCCCAGGATTGAACCGGGGATTACCCCCACCGGCCTGAGGGGGGAGAGTGTATCGTGTCTTCCGAGCCGCCAGCGGGAGGACGGAGAAAGCGGCTGTCTCTCCCCAATTCCAGGGCCCGCAGGCCGCGATCAGTCATCTTGGGCTTCCTTGCACCGTTTCTCAAGAGAGAGATATCAAGAGGTTCGTTAGGACTCGCAGAGCTCGGGTAAGGTAACTTCGTTGAGCTAAAAGGCTGTATTTGCTATTATTTAGCGATTAGTCGAGTTTGGCTGTGGGAGCCCAGCAAACACGCGTCTAGTCAGGAAGCTGGTCAGGCTCCGCCCCCCCTCAGTCAGTTTTAACACACACACACACACGTTTCTTTAACAATGATCACACTTTATGAATATCCTTTGTCATCATTAAAAAATGACAATACTAAACAGAACCACAATTGTCTGTCAAAAGTAAAAAAAAATCTGATTTAGACACATTCCACTTGAATTTAGTATGATGGAAAATGTCCTTATTCTAACACAATTCTTTTACAAAAAATACATATGTATTTTCAAGATTTCTTTTATTTATTTATAAAAATTATTTTTTTCATTGTGCAGGTAGGTACATGACAGTATCTAACGCCACAACAGCGTACTTACATATATCTATACAAGCTTAGCAGTGGCAAGATTATGAGCACTTTTTTTTTTTTTAAACAAATAAGCTAGAGCAATATAACAGGCTTAACGATGGTGAAATGTTACTGCAATGTAGGTTTGTTTGTGTGTGAATTGTGTGTTGGGACAGCTAAGTTAACTACAGGCTGAACCAAGAAGTACTGTGTTCGCTGTGGTACGATTAGGGAGTAAAATAAAAATAATGCTAGAAAACATGCATGGCTGTCAAGGATTAATAAAACAGGCTGGTTATCTATCTTTAGAGGGCAAATATAATTAAAGTACACATTGGATAGCGCATTTGGCATTGAATAAACAGGCTGTGTGCCTAACATTAAGCTTAGTAAAGTAGATGGTGGTGAGCGAGGGGTTAACACGCTATGCTTATAAGGTTGCTATGTAATGACAAGGGTGCTGCACATTATATACATAGCCGTTATGTCATGCGTTTAGGAAGTGGAGGCCTATACATGGCAGGTTTGAAAGTCAGAACAGTAACAAAAGCACTCCACCCTCAATGCACCCAGGCTTGTTCGGAGGTTTTATCCTACCCCCACGCTTGCTATCAGAGTCCCAACCGAATGCTGTGTCCCAGCTATGGGCACCTTCGCTGATCTCCACCAGCCTTGTGTCGGAACTCCGTGCTTCTTTGTTGCCCCGCTCTTCCTCCATGCACTCGTTGACAGAGCTTTGTTCTGGGGTCCGTCGCCAGACGTTTTGTCACGATGGGTAGGTGCTCTTTGCGGGCGTGAGCGGAGGTTCTGGGCATCCCGCCTGTCGGCCTGCGGCCCCAGCGTTCTGCGGCTCACCAGAGTTTTGGGCTTTCGCTGGTGTCGCTGCTGAGGGGTTGTGGCTGCCTGTTTGGTCCGGCGACGACGAGCTGTCCGCCCAGGCGGGTGGATGTAAGAGGTTTGTTTGGCGGTTTTTCGGCCCACGTAGGTTAGCTGAGTGTGTTTGTGTCGCTTGCGTCGGGGGCCTCCTGCCATTCTCTTGTTTGCTTCTCTGTTCACCGCCTGGTGTCTGCATCTGGGGCGCTGCTGTCTTGGCTTCCAACTTAGTCCAGAAGTGTGCATCCAGTCTCTGTAGGAAAATCTCAATGTAGTCGCTTGGGTCTCATTGTGGCCGCTGTTGCATATGTCCTTGTAGTTGGCGGCTGTCAGCCATCTTGTGGTCCACCTTTTGGTCTGGATAGCAGGCAGGCAGCTCCACATCAACGCTGGTGTAAGTGTGGGACTGGGATAAGCCCCTCCGGTCCAACAGGGCCATTTTGCGTAGGCACGCAGAACTGGAGAGCGGCCGTCTCTCCCGTCTGGAAGCCTCACTAGGCCCTGCTGAAAGCACTGGATAAATTGTCAGAGAACACCTTGTGGACACTTTCCTCAGTATCCCAGCCAGTCTCATTTGGTAGCAGATTGGTGTGCTGAGAGTTGTTTTTTTGGTTTTTTTTGGCTTTAGTTTGTGTTCAGACTTGGAGCTCTCCGTAAGCACGTCTAGCTGCCATGCGGTGCAGGCCCCGCCCCCTCTTTTATTTATTTTTTGTAAATAATATTTCAGGAATCCAAAAATTGGAACACAAGGTTTGAACACACAAATATCTGTGAGTTCCTCCAACATATTTTTCAGATTAATGTTCTACAAAACTATTCCAGATTATAAGCACAACTACTTTAATACCGTAACTACCATTTGTCTCTTTACAAACCTATTCCTTTGGAATATATGTTGAATGAAAACCAAAAAAATGTAAACATCTCATTCAGTGCAGAGAGAGAGAGTTATATTTCAAGTCTGTTTTTATTTAATTTTCTATCCCCCACATTATGCATCTGTAAACTGCAGATTTTGTTTTTGTTTTTTAGTCCCCATGACATTGCACACTTTTTGCATTGTGAGCTATGAAGGCTAAAGGGAAAATAAAAATCACGTTGCTGCTGTGGTTATGTTAAGTGATGAAAATCATTATCCAATATCCCTTTTGTTACTTTGACTCTTTCATGTTGCGAGCTTAATAAGCTATATGCTTAAATTTGATAGCACTATCAATCTATTTCTTGGCTGCGATCATTTTTCTTTTGTTGAGCAAGTGTCAATAATTCTCTGTTTCTTCTGCGTTGAAAGGAGTTACGTGAAGAATTAAAATGCAAAGGATGCTTTTAGTGTTTGTGTTTAGTACCATGAACACTAATATATGTTTGCTTTAACTAAATCGTTTCTTACAAATGTTAGAATAATGTGCAAAGTCTTGTCCCTATTCTGTACAACTACGACACAACATTGTACATATGTTTTTTTGTGAGGTCAGTAGTGAATAGCAAACCAGTTTTGTAGGGAAACAAAATGGATGGATTTTTTTTTTTTTTTAAATTAGTTACATTTTTTTTATTTTTTTTTATTTTGTATATATGTGTGTGTTTGTGTTTCCTCTCCATTTTCCCAATGATTTTATTTCCCTTTTGGTATTAGATTAGGTAGCCTAAGGCAGTCAAACAGACACAGACAGCACAGCTGTCTGATTATGTGAAATAAACTAAAACACTTTTTGGATTCATTTTTTTGTGATTTGGTTCCAGTGGATATTGTAGGATGACTGTAATACATGCACATTTTTTGTGCATATAGTTTAAAATGGCAAGTGTTGCAAAAACCGCTGTCGTCAATGCCTTTGTGGATTGACTAATGCTTTCTGTATGTCCTAGTAATACTGTCGAATGTAGATAAATAATTTAATTTCAAATATTTTAATGTCACTTTTAATTGATTGTCAAAAGCCCCCATTACTTAGAAACTATGCTCATCCATTCAATGTTTATAACAAATCTTTACTTACAGATGCTTTGTTTTCAAAAATTTACCAGTTTCTCACATAATTAATATGTCAAAATAAAGAAAATCACAATTCTCATAATTCTGTAGATCTTTCATTTACTGGAGTTACTAGCCCTCCCATCTTTACAACACCAGAGTATATCCTGATGATCTTTTGATGTTTTTGAAAGACCTCTAAAGCGGCCTTCTGGGTATTATCTTTTATACAGTGAATTGTCAGAGGATATGTACTGTCAAATCCAATACACTTTATTGAGGCTTGCACTTTTGATGCTTTCACTTTTCATCCAAATGATCATCGTTAACAAATCGATTTACAAGCTAAACAGTCATTAGGGACTTTTCTTATTGGAAAGAGCTCCGTTCCGATTTTGGTTTGCTAGAATGATATTTTATATATGTAGGGCAGCAAAAATGGCAGATTATTAATGACCATTGTGAAACCTTGATCCCCTAAACATGCAATTAAACATCTGTTCACATTTATGGAAGTGTTTGCAAATCGTGCTCGGAAAATCAATAGCTTGTTTAAAGATTATTCTACAGACCTTTTTTACATCCTCTCCTCGTGGTTCTTACCTGGGAGTTCAGGTTTTGCAGTGGTCTAAGAGAAAGAGACCTAATTAACAAACCGTTTGCAGCCCTATTACAGAGGGAGAGGTTGGGAGTACCATGTCTCAGTTTATTGCAAACAAGGCATTGTCCTGATTGCTATGTGGCCATATTTCATAAAATTCTGAGAGAGATCTCAACTAGTGAAACCAATGACCGTGTTTAAAAATTCACTGTTAAAGGATAATGTATTCTTCCCAGAATTGGTCATCCAGGGTGGATTTGGAATCCGTATCACTTTTTCAAGTTATGAGTACAACATGTAATGTGCTGCCCTGCAGTATTTCTAATTCAGATTTTGCCCAATTCCTTAAAGGGACACTATAGGCACCAAAAACAGCTTTAGCTTAATGCAGTGGTTTTGGTGAATTGTTAAACATTGCATGCTTCAGCAGTCTCACTGCTCAATTTGCTGCAATTTAGGAGTTAATTTGTTTGGTTTAAGCAGCCATAGCCATACCTCCTTGCATGTGATCTACACATTCTCTCTACACATTTCCTGTGAAGATAGATCTCATTTTTACACTTCCTTTATTGTAAATTCTGTTTAATTTAGAATGTATCTCCTGTTTTGTTAACAGCCTGCAACAGCCTCGTGTGTGATGTAAAGTTCAATGAACAGAGCAGGAGATAAATACTAAAGTTAAGTAAGATTTGAAACCATTTTTATCATGTTAGCTGTTCAGTCACAGCCAGGGGAGGTGTGGTTAGGGCTGCATACACATAAGAATGGAGCAATGAGGCTGCTTCATTAAGCTAAAGTAGTTTTGGTGTCTTTATTATCCCATTAAACGATCACTACAAGCATCAAAACCAATATAGCTATCTGAATTGGTTATAGTGCCAGGAGTGACAATAGTGTCCGTCCCCCACCCCCACCTCCCTTGTAATAGGTCAAGTAGTTTCTGAATGACTTTAAAGGGCTAAGCTCAGAAGAGCTAGCATAAGTCCCTGCTGATGTAAAAAATGTTTACCTCTTACAATGGTGGGAGGTGCACCAGTGAGTTCTCATTATGCCTACCTTGCGCACGTCATTATGAAGAATATTTAATTTCAAATTACTCACATATGCTCTTCTGGTTCTTCTGTAAGAGACATAAAGCTACCTGCTAACCCAAAATGTATGAGTCACGTGCTTCGTTACAAGTTAGAATTTAGTCTATATATTAAACGCTAATCAATGCAGTAGCAAATATATTTTTTTTCCAGTTCCTTAATGCTCTTGTGTTACAATGGAATGTTTCAATAACTGGTGCATTAAAACTGCAGTGATATTTTTCATGATATATGTGAGTATTTTTAGATTTGATGTATTTCCCGTTACATATCTGCTATACCTCAAAATGCAGTCGTAAAATGTGGGTGGAAAATAAATATGATTTTGTAAATGGTGGGTGCCCTCTGATTCGCAAGAACCTTTCAAAATATTTTATTTATTTTCAAGCTAAGTGCATTATCTTGTTTGTTGAATCGTTTATTATTTAACATTCTAAACAATTATCCAATTATAAAACGTCTGTTAACAGCCAAGATTAAAAATACAAAACTAAACAAAAACAACTAAATAAATACGCATATTAAAGCCACAATCTACAATATTTAAATAGTAACAAAATAATATTTATTGTGTTAAAGGAGTATTCAGCCATTTCTTTTTCTGTGAATAAAAAATTCATCAAAATTATTGGCGGACTAAGTAATTCACTGCTGAACACAGCAGTCATAAAAATTAGAAAAGAGCTTCTAAATTTCATGCATATATGCCTGCCCAATTCTCCTCGCTAACCTTTCTTTGTTTGTTGAAACACTCAACCACTAAATTCTATACAAACATTAGTGTAGTTGTCACTAATGAAGATGTAGGAACCTTTGCATTCGCAATGTCAGAACAGGAGCCGGACTGTGGATGCCCTTGGGCCTAGATAAGTGTCAAACTGCTTAAAAATAGTTTGATGCTTACCCAGGTGACTGTGATAGCGGACTCCTGGAATCTTAAACACTACAAACTATGTCATGATAAAATCATGATACAGATTAAGGAACAGCGCACTCATAAAATACATTTCTAAATTCTATAAGGCTACTTAAAATCACCTATCTCGGCAAACAGATATGTGGATTCAGTTCCACCATATGGCCATATTGTGTTAAGCCCACCACCACTTCACAATACCCCAATAGTGGTAACCCATTTGGGAATAAGCACTCCGCCCAGCCTCTTTGTAGGTGACCACAGGTATATATTTGAGGAGGTTTTGGACATTAATGTTACTTCAATTATAATGTAATTGAGCAGATCTATAACTTATATTGTGAATATGTGTATGTGTGTGTGTGTGTATGTATATATGTATGTACAGGGAGTGCAGAATTATTAGGCAAGTTGTATTTTTGAGGATTAATTTTATTATTGAACAACAACCATGTTCTCAATGAACCCAAAAAACTCATTAATATCAAAGCTGAATATTTTTGGAAGTAGTTTTTAGTTTGTTTTTAGTTATAGCTATGTTAGGGGGATATCTGTGTGTGCAGGTGACTATTACTGTGCATAATTATTAGGCAACTTAACAAAAAACAAATATATACCCATTTCAATTATTTATTATTACCAGTGAAACCAATATAACATCTCAACATTCACAAATATACATTTCTGACATTCAAAAACAAAACAAAAACAAATCAGTGACCAATATAGCCACCTTTCTTTGCAAGGACACTCAAAAGCCTGCCATCCATGGATTCTGTCAGTGTTTTGATCTGTTCACCA